CCATGCATACATGACAAGTGGGGCTGCAAATGATCTAAGACGCTTGCGAGGGGCTTGGCGCTCGACTCGGGAAAAATTCGTTCGAAACTTGACTCGTTTAATAAGGAGCCGAGTTTGAGCTAAGTCTTCTACAGCTCGTGGAACTTGTGAGCGAACTCGACTTGGTGGCTTGTTGAACTCAACTCGTGAGCTGGCTCATTTAGAGCTCATGAGATGTCTCAACTATCAACATTGTGGCTAGAGAACCAACTCGGTTACTGATTTATGAGGGAATCGATTTATATGAGTTTGATTTTGATAACTCATAGGATTTTTAAATTATATATATCTCACCCTATATGAAGTTTGACACGTAGATTATGTGAGCAAATATGTCTTATTTAATTTTAAAAAGAAATGATGTATCATAAATTGCTTCATACTATGAAATAACATAATTTTGACTAGTTAAAATTTATTAACTAAATAATATGTAACCACAAAGTATAACATTAGATTAGTTAATATTGAACACTTAACTATTATTTATTTTATTTGACATTAACCACATGTATCATACATTACATACAAAATGAATAAATCAAATAAGAGTTAAGATTTTTGTTAAAGAGCCGAGCTCAAGCTGGGATAAAACTTGGCTCCACTAAACTCATTTGCAGTCCTAATCATAAGCATCAAAATTCATGAGCATAAATACAAGCATCATATGAAATCATAATATCATTACACACAAAGATAAATGAGTTCACATCCTCACACAATCAATTCAAACTAGCTATACATAGAAGAGAAGGAGGGTACCACCATTGATTATGAAAGCATCTTCCTAACTGCATCCTCTCCTATGAATGCTAAGCTCTCACTCGAGTGGAGTGTTTATAGAAGTTTTGTGAATTTGTTCAACCTACTAAGCCAATGAGTCTAACCCTCTATTCATAGGGGGTAAAACTAGACCAAAATCCTCCTAAATCGACTAGAACAAGGTTTCATTGACTTAAGGCCGAAACCATGACCTAAAGATCTGATTTTCGGCTTAGGCCTCTTGGCGGTGATCCTTTTCTTCTTGGGTTGGTTTTCTTGGCCCATGGAAAACCTCTCATGAAGCTTTGCGCATGATTTATCTAGGTTTCTATGAGCGGTAGTTGGACTCTATGTTTAACCATTGGTGGTTCTTGCTTAAGCATGGGTCGAGTCTTTCTCCTTTGGGCTTCTTGTGGGCTATACTTATGCTTACTAGTAGGCTTTTTAGTAATTGTACCTGTCTTTATCACGAAAACTCAATATACTTATGCTCCTTTTGGTCCTGTATAGTTGTCCAATGCTTGATCCAAATTCTCCTATGTCGTATGGTACCTTGAAAACCATAAAAAAAACATACAAAGAAGGCATTAAAGAGCACAGAAATACATCATAGGTATATTAAAGAATCATTGATCAAATAGTTATGATTTAGACATGAAATACAAGAGAAAGGACTAAAGATGCATTGATAGAAGGGGAAAATATATCAAATATGAAAGTGATAAACACTATTAATAGAGTGTCATCAACCATAGTCGTAGTGTGGAGCTCTCACTAATCTTCTATAGGAGTATATGTAATTTAAAGTAGATTTCTTTCCGAAAAACCATCAATCAAACACCCTTGTTTAAACTGTGTTCAAAGAAGTGTGAATTGTGTTTAGAAATCATATGGTTAGAAGTGAAAGGTGCAATCAATTCTATTTAACGCAAATATTCTCATCGGAAAATAAATATGCACATTTGGTGGGATCACTTTGTTTGATTTGATAGCTCAAAGACAAAGGCAACAAGAAGGTGATCTCTCACCTAGGCTTGTGAAGAAGCAAATGGCTAAGTTTGAATTTGGCCAAAACAGAGAGGGTGTTATTGGAAACAATGGCATGGTGGAGACTTCGCCACCGGTGGTACCAAGTGTTGATATAACCACCAAAATCATGTTACTTCACCAGATGGTGGAGGAAACCCGCAAATGATGGTGGAGAACCATCAAACCTCAAAAGGGAACCGCATGATGCTGGTGGAGAACCAACATTTCATGAAGGAGGCATTGGTGAGAAACACTGGTTGGTAAGGTCTCAAATTGAGTCGCTCAATCCTCATCTAAATAGGCGTCTAAGGCAACTCATTGAGTTGTGTGACATAAAATAAAATTGATTTTAATGAGGTGAAACAAATTCTAATAAAATGACTGACACAATTAATGGCTTTGCCACTTGGGTCACAATTAAACTGTGATATTTGTAGTACAAATCTTTCTCTCACTAGTGACCGGAACGACCAACTATGGCATGACAACTTGTCGGCCCCAGTGATAAGCCAACCACCCTCTCAATGTTTGAGTGTGGTGATAATATGGCCACCCCGGCCAACACAAATGATGAGGAATTGTTTATAAAAGACGGTGTTTAACCATGAACTCTAGAGATAATAACTTATGTGGAACCTATCAATGAACGAGTTAATAAAGATTCATTCAACGCGGAGCAAGTACCACAACATGTTTACCCAATCCCAATGCCACCACTAGTGAGTAGGCAAGAGGTGTAATCGGATGGATTCAAACCACCTAGAGGGCAACATGGGGTATGGAAGTCTAATACGCCACAAGTCGAAATCGATATGTCCATCTCAGGGGCATGTGAAGACGTCCAAGTGGCCACATCAATCCCCAAGCACACATTTGTTATAAACATATTAATATGGTTAATTCTGAATAGGGGACAGGCCACCAGTCATTGTTAATGGACATGGGGGCACATCTAAACAGACGTGAGAAAACCACAAAGATGTTTCATAGGGTCTGATAATTTAGCTAAGTGTAGACAAAACATATCATCCACCATGAAGAATAGAGTAGGTGGCATGGCAAAGTGAGCACAACAAATTCAAGTCACACATGTTTATAATATGGCTAAATCTGGATAGGGGCAATTGCCACCAACCACAGATGGAGGAGACATAGTGCTTCAACCCTGGTCATTGATAAGATCATGCCTTAGATCTAATGACCAAGGATTTCTTGGGTGCATGACCTCAAGCAATGAGAACGTAAGATCAAGGGGATCAGTAAAAGCTCTCAAAATGCAATTATGTATTGAGAAACTATATAAAGGAGCTCTTGGTTTAATTTTTGCAAAGACACATCCCCATAAACCAATTTCTCAACCTGGGTTTTGTTTGAGATTTCGTTCTTCCTTCAAATCCAAGTGGTATTCTGGTTCCTTTGTCTGGTTTCTTTGTGGTTGTGGAGGAGTTGCGCTAAACACACATGTCAAAGAACAAGACACTTTCCCATGTCCCTATCAGGATAAAAGACTATGACGGAGTCCATAATAATATGTATACAAATCTCGTAGCAGCAGCCTCCAAGGTTTGCTTGTCGAGAAACCAGAAAAACTGGCCATTCAATCAAGGGCGCGGGTCGTTAGTTAGGAACCTGTCAATAAAGAAATAGAAACATATATTCCAAGTTCCAACAGGGTTCCATTTCGTAGTTGACCCTCTTTCCTTCCCCTTTTCCCACGGGTCAATGCTATACACCGGCAAACCCACTATTCTAATCTCACCTTAACCACTGAAAAACGGGTGCAAATGTATGCACTTCCTTCCAAACTTGGAGTCAAACATATTTATATATAATAGCGGGACAATTCCCTAAATACACATAAAACTAAAGCAAATTCCTAAACTATCACACTTTTAAAAAAATTTCCCAAAATACCTAAGTTTGGAGTGGTTCGAGTTTGAGAAACTCGAACTACTAACCGGTTCGAGTGTAGGAGACTCGATCTACTCCTAGATCGATGATATAAGCCTCGAACCATGTGGGGTTGAAGTGGTTCGAGTTCAGTGAACTCGAACCACTCCTTTGAAATTTCCAAACCCCTTACTTTGTGCTCGGTTATCCGATTGTAGCAAACTTTTTTTTCATTTCGCATAACTTTTTGAGGACTACAACTTTTATAATAGAAATATTTTCAGAATATATGTGAAAATGTAAAAATTAATGTTAAAGTTACTCCCAAAACCCCTTATATTAAAAAATATTCCTATTTTGAAAATTTATTCCTAGTAAATGTTGTAGTACTCAAAAAGTTATGCAAAATAAAAAAAAACTTTGCGACGTTCGGATTGCGGAGCACAAAGTTATGATCCTCCAAAGTTTGACAAATTCGAAAATTTGCTCGTTTATGGGTAGCAAATGACGTTTACAAGGAAGATAGCCATCCAAAAATTTCTCGTTTGGAAAACTATTGCTCTTTTTGCAGAAATTTCCTATATATAAAAAATTTTCTATGCCTTCGCTCCGAGAAAATGTCATTTGTAACCCCTAAACGAGCAATTTTTCGATTTTACCAAACTTTAGTGGATCATAACTTTGTGCTCCAAAATCCGAACGTCGCAAAGTTTTTTTTATTTTGCATAACTTTTTGAGTACTACAACATTTACTAGGAAAAAATTTTCAAAATAGGAATAGTTTTTAATATAAGGGGTTTTGGGAGTAACTTTAACTTTAATTTTCACATTTTTACATATATTCTGAAAATATTTCTATTATAAAAGTTGTAGTCCTCAAAAAGTTATACGAAATGAAAAAAAGTTTGCTACAATCGGATAACCGAGCACAAAGTTATGGTGGTTGGAAATTTCAAAGGAGTGGTTCGAGTTCACTGAACTCGAACCACTTCAACTCCACATGGTTCGAGACTTATATCATCGATCTACGAGTAGATCGAGTCTCCTACACTCGAACCGGTTTGTAGTTCGAGTTTCTCAAACTCGAACCACTCCAAACTTTGGTATTTTGGGAAATTTTTTTAAAAGTGTGGTAGTTTAGAAATTTGCTTTAGTTTTATGTGTATTTAGGGAATTATAGCTCTCTAGCCCTGAGATTAGGGGTGAACAACAAAACATGGAAAACAGTGAGCACTGAGCAGCATACATAAGGAAAGACCAAACCTTTGATTAAACATGAGATTTAATCACGTAGTTTACTTTAATTATATGTACAGAGAAAAAAAGTCCAAAACTTTCAACGTGGGTTTTCCAGTGCTCATCTTCTTCCTTTCCTCTACCTTCATGGCTCCAACCTCAGATTGGACACATTAACAACAGTTAGGGGACAGAGAGGGAGAGAGATACAGGAAAGCAGTGAAATTTACAGGTCACACACTTCCAACTCTTCTCCCTTCACTAACCTACCTTTGCCAAATGGTTCGATTCTTTCTTCCTAAACTGTGGTCACATGAGCTAAAAGCTGAAAGGTCACTAAGTTGGATATATGTACAATCAGTGAGTGAGTGTCTAGGGAAGTTCTTTTGATCCTAAGAATAGGACCTAACCAAACCAAAGTTGACAAAGGATCTAGACTTGAACAGACCACCAAAGAGGAACCTTGTTGGTGATTCTTGAGAGGCTTGCTTTGAATCATCAGGCCTTCCTTTGACCTTCAGTATCGTCTGACCTATCACTTGCCGAATGGCATCGATGGTCTTAGCATCGACCGGGCACCCTGAAGCTTCACGAACATAGAATGTATTCAGAGCTTTGCCTCCTCTGGTGGTTACCTCTGCTCTTGTAACCGTAAGACTGTTCTCTCGAAAGATTCGAGTAACATCTGATAGCAACCCTACTCTATCAGTTGTACATAGCTCAAGCTTCAAACCCTGCATTAAAAAACATACCAAGCTTGTCAATTTCAAGCCAATCTCAGCCAACTTCATAAATCTTGAGGCATTACAAAAGACAACTCACCTCAGATACTCTTCTTTCAATGGCTGCCTCAAGACATTGTATAACTCTTTGTCTCTCAGCGTCAGATTTCACAGGGGACCCATCAACATGCCTTATGTAGTATTCCTGAACAAGCAAAAGCCAAGGGGAAGAGTATGGATTAAGCCAACGGCCAACAACCAACATTCATTCATTCAACATTATTGCAGACAAGAGAGATATAAAAAGAAAATTATTAGCAGCAAAACCTGGTAAGCTTCTGGACCCTCAGCATCAATGTTTGCATGAAACACAACATACTCCATGTCAGTCAAAGTGCAGACAGTATCAAACAGAAGTTTTGGCCTGTCTTTACTCCTTATGGTGACAACCGAATAGTCCTTATCATACCAATTAACCACACTCACATCAGGCCTTTGCTTCTCACCCAAGCAACCATCAACACTATCGCCACCACTCCTTTCATAATCCCTAGCGGCAAACATCATTTGGTGCAACCTTCTATCTGTATGAATGGCTTCATGAGACACAACGGTCTTGGCCCCTCGAGACCTGTTGCTCCCACTCAGCACATTCCGAAGCAGCTCCTTGATCCCTGCCAGCCTCTCCGTGTCAGAAATTGCAGACCCCGTTTCCTCCTCTGTCACTTGCATCACAGCTGCTGCCCTTGTGTTGTGTGTCCAGACCTCTGCACTCACAACATTGCACTTAAGGTGAGTGAGGACAGCACAGACTTCGGATAGTAAACCAGGTCGGTCGCTTCCGGTTAGCTCAATCACTGTGTGGTCTACTGATGGTTTGAACCCAACTGATCCCATTGAAGATGTGAAGCATGATTCTGGCCCTAGAGACTGGAGATAACAATGTCAAACAATTAGATTTTGTTGCAGGCTAAAAGGTGGTTAAAGAAGGACACTCTATGAAATATCAATCAAACTTGTGAGATGTTACTCACCTTTTGAATGTAGTCAAGAATTGGTTCATCAGTAATTTTGTTTCCATCCTGATCTGTCACATTAAACACTGGACCAAAGAGAGTGCTTCCAGATCAACTTGGGCACTTCCAAATAAGGAAATTCAGATAATGGGAAGAGAAGTAGAAAGGAAGTAATTGCTTACCATCCATGAACCAACCGCCATCAGAAGAGATGTAAGCTTTGGTTATTATGAGGTCGAGATCAGTGAGTATTTGAACGACATCTAGCAGGATTCCATGCTTGTTTGCACTGTCAACCTGACGAGAAAACAAAAGGGGACTTAAATGAGAAGGAACAAAAGAAGAGTAAACCAAGCTTACAACAGGAACAAAGAACAGAAGCATACCCTTATCACAGTAGCATTCTTGCAGGATTCATTATCAATCACAACCCTGATGAGCCACCAAAAAAAGAAAAGTGAATAATGATGGAGCAAGATTGAAGGTCACTTTCAATGAAGTACAGAGCAAGCAAATTCAACCATACCTAGGTGGATTTAGTCTTCTAAAGAGCTTCTCATACTCATCATCCATGTCATTGGAAAAGCTCATGTTGAGCTCTGCAGGCAGAGTGAATTTAGAATTAGAAACAAGAGAGAATAGGAAATGAAAACCATAAACCCACATAAGAATAGATAGAAGCAAACCAATGAGAGCATAAAGTGGAAGTTTGAAAACAACCCTCCTCCCCAAAATAAAATAAAATTCATAGAAAAGGAAACAGAAAAAAATGGAATAATGGGAGATGACCAATAAGAGAATAGATTCTGAAAACCCCATAAAAGGGATCAAAAACATCTTCTCATAAATGGCTCCAGTTCAGAGCAGACGACCCTCCTTGTCCTTCCTTCTCCACCCCAAGCATCGAAACACGAGCAGAATCCAAAACCCACCTTTGCTAATTGTTATTATCACTCAATCCCAGAAGGGCCCAACTTCATTAACGACTATAATGAGCCAAAAATAAGAAGGGGAGGGAAGAAGAAACCCCAAAAAACAAAACCACCACAGCAAAACAGCAGCAGAAGCAAGAGAAAAGAAGAATAAAGGAAGTAACAGAAGCAAACGCGAGTCCAGAAGAAATGTCGGTGAGGGAAGGAGAAGAAAAAACAGAGAAGAGCCACAAAACAGAGAGGAATGAGCACATACCCATTACAATTCGTGGCGATTAGAGCTCTTCTAACTGCGGCAAAACGAAGTCTCTCTCTCTCTCTCTCTCTCTCTCTCAACGAAAGTCTGAAGTGCGATTGCCGAATCGTCAGACACTACTGGAAATAAAAAGAGAAGAGACCCGCCCCAAAACCTTCCCCTGCTATATATACACGAAAAAGGGAAAAAGAACAAGAAAGGGAAAGAAAGAGAAAGAATCCCGCTCCTCCAAACAGGGAAAACGGAGAGAGAAAGAAAAGAAAATGAGACGAGACGAGACAGAGAGAGAGATCCCAGCAAGGAAATTTCACTCTTTGAATTTCTTTTGTCGACTCATTACCACTTTCCTCAGTTAAGAAAAATCCCTTTGAGACAATTCTAAAAAGAATCTATTTTCGCGCTACAAATTAAGGAAGGAAAATGGAAATGGAAATGAAAAATCCTTTTTCTCCTTCTTCTTCTTCTTCTTCCCCAACTCCTCAGTCCTCACCCTGCGACGCGCGCTCTCTCTCTCTCTCTACTCTGCCTCGTTCTGTTTTGCTTCCTCTGTTTTTGGGTTTTCGGTCGTTTTTAATTTTTCAGTTTCCGCTTACAGTGGGGCGTTTATTACGACCGGCGCATTTTAGTGCGGGGGTGGAATGGTCATTTGGATGGAGTTGGGGGTGGCGGGTAACGTGGGACGGCGGGGAGGGTAAAACTGTAAAAGAAAGTTGGGAGGTCGATGGAGGGAATTTTGACAGTTATAAGTTTCACTGCCCACGTGCCTGCGGTTGAGAGGGGAAAGTGGAGAGAGAAAGGGTAGTAGTAAATCTCCAAGGAGTGAGGAATGGATCGGGTCGGGTTTCGAATATTCACTTGGAGGGAGTCGGGTCAAATTTGTTAAGTTGATTCCTAGATGGCTAGATCCATCTTAGGGTCCTATTAATTTGGGAATCTAGGATTTAATCTTCCCTTTTAAATTTTAATTAACATACTTATGGCGATTCCCTTTGGCATCGTTTGGAGGGAAGATATTCAAGAGATATTTTATCACAATACCACTACATATTGTGTCAATTAAATATATGATGAAATGAGTGATGGTAGAATGGAGAAATAAGACTTTACTAATCTGAATTAAAAATAAAAATAAAAGAATTAAATTTTCAACCAAATTAGAGCGTCCAAATGTCATACTCACTCTTTCACTCTTTTCTCCCCTGTAAATTTTACACGGATCATATCTTATTTAGTTTCATTCGAATTTCAATCTTTTTGCAACAAAATTATAATTTAAAAAAATCTACCAAATGATACCCTTGTTAGTATATTTTGAAGAAGGAATTACACATAATGAATGACGTGCTCATATGCAAGTGATTTGTCGTGTTTCATAGCGGTACACCAACCAATTGAACTTTATTAATTGAGGATCGAATTTGACTAATTGGTTTGCAAGTGTATAAGATCTTAGTGAGTTTGGTTTAATGGGCTTGATCGTTGAAGTTCTTGGTAAGTTTGATTAAGTGACTTGATCTGGTCATAGACTCTACTAATTATACTCACTAGTGACCACTGCTTCATTACCTTAATAGTTAATACTATAGGGAATATAGTAAAAAAAATGCGCTTTAAAGTTTAAAAATTTATGTTTTTATGCTTCTAAATCACCAAAAACATTTTAAGTTTTCATGTAAAATCTGCAGTTTATAAAATCAGACAAAATCGCGTTTTAGAACTTAAAAGCTTACACTTTTATACTTCTAGGTCACCAAAATATTTTTACTATGCTTCATACGCTTTTATAACCTGATAAATAAGTTCAATCAGAAACAATTACACCATTTTGTCGGACAAGAAATTGGATGAATTGAAAGAAAAATTAAGTAAACCCGAAATAAGTGAATCCTCTCGTCTCATCCCTAATCTTCTAAACATGACCCCATCGCTCTTTCTAATATATCTCGCCAACCTTCCCTCAATAACTTCTCCTCTATCCAATTGTTTTATTTTTTCACCTTCTCCTCTCTCTCCATCCACTCATCATTGCACATATTATCTCTGGCGTCTACACCTCCTATGTAGTTGAAAAATAACATCTCATTTCCCCAATTACTCCTTGATTGTGTAAGTTTTATTCTCTTAGGGGTCGTTTGGAAGTTGTGATTGTTATAGTTGTGTTTGTTGAATACATGTATTATGCACAATACAATGTTTGGAAGTGCCAAAGTGTTAAACAATGCATGCATTGTTTTAGGTAGGTCCCACCAACAATCACAAAAAATGATGCATTATACAATCTCAACTAAAAGTTGAGATTGTTGTGATTGTTGGTTTTAGATTTGTGTCAACCTTTTCTTTCCATTTATATCCCCAATAATTTTTGTCTTATTCTAAAAGTTGAGGGTAAATGTGACATTTCCCCATAAAAGTAATTTTATGTAAATCAATGCATAAAATAGAATCTCAACAACCAAACAATGTATTGTTAAAATGCATCCATTGTATCAATACATACATTTATATCATGGTGATTCATTACAATGCAACGATTTAACATTCGCAACTTCCAAACGACCCCTTAGTTCAAATGATGAATATTGGTAGCCGGTGAATTCTTGATTTGATTTTAGAAATAAAGAGTTTTCATTTATCAATAATTCATGTATAATTTTTTATGCTCCAAAGTTTCATGATTTGCACAAGAAAACTACAAAGGATACTTTAGGGACTTACTATTTCATTCTACTCTAAGAGCTTGTCAAATTAGTTTGTTTTTGTCACTAGTGACCAATGTAGTCAAAAGCGTGTTTCTGCGTAGAAGCGTTTTGGGATCTAGAAGCGTAAAACTGTAAGTTTTTAAGCTTTAAAGCGTGGTTTTTAATTGCATTAGTTATAAAAAAAAAGGAGATTATGCGTAGAAGCGTTTTGGTGATCTTGAAGCGTAAAACCATAAGTTTTTAAGTTTTAAAGAGACTATGTTCTCCTTAGAAGATTTCTAGCAATGTGACACAATGTATAAAACTTACAGTTCTTGCAGATTATTCCTCCAAGTTCTCGTCTGATGACCAATGAGGTCGCTTACAGTCTCCAAACCCAAATGTCCATATGCCCTTTCCAACGTTGTTCCGTACGGATGGATGCCACCCACCTATCATCTCATATTTTGATTGAGCATCCATTTCCTACTCGTCATTTACTTCCCCTGATTCATGCGTATTTACACATGTTTTACTCCTTTATATCTTGAATGTTTGACTCGATAATCTATGTTCCTCGACCTATTTTATGCTAGGTTGTGCTGTTTTTGTCATATTTTAGGTCCTAGTACATGTTGGAAGGTCGGGGACAATGTTCGGGACTTTCGAAGGTCAAAACGAGCCAAAAAGTGGAGTCTGTGCAAGGTTCACGGACTGGGTGTTAGGATCACACCCTGAGGGAGTGAAAATCACACCAAAGTCGAGAACTGTGCGAATTCCAGCAGCTATTGTTCATCTCGCGGGCTGTGCACACTTCACGGTCTAAGGTTGTGAAAATCACCCCAAAACCATGAAGTGTGCACAAAATGGTGCTTTTTTAGCTGAGATCATTGTTTTCTTGCTAACATCATGGTCGTGAATAGTAACCACGATCTGGGCACTCGAGCTGTATAAAAAGGTAGCATCTGTGAGAAAGAAAGGGGAGCTTGGATTTTCTTTAGGGTTCCAACCCAAAGCACCCAAAGAGGCATTTATAGAGAGAAAGTGTGTCCTAGACAGATCTTGGAGCTTAATTGGAGGCTTGGGTTGATCTTGCAGTCAAGGATTCAAGGGAAGAAGGTGAATATCTTAAGCTATTTTGTAATCTTTATCTTTTCTCTATGAATTAGTCATCTTCACTTAGGTTGATGTATGTGACGGATCCTATGTTTGATTGTTCATATTATCTATTTTATGGATGCTTGTTACGGATTGCATGAGTTTGGATTCCATTTCCTGTCAATTGAGTTTTTGACCTAGGAGGGAGAAAATCCTTTTTTAAGCCATTCTTGGCAATTAGGGTAACTAATATTCTATGTCATCCGGGTAATCCTCCAAGAGAGTCGATTCAATCGATCTCCTAGAGATATAGGGTTTCCCTAGGTTGAATAGATCACCTACCAATCCATTACTTCGTCAGTTCTAGGTCAATCCCGAGAGAGTCGATCTCCTATGGTAGGGATATAGAGTCAATCAACCTAGGATGGTACGCAACATCGGTCTAAATGATGGAAATAGGGGGATTCAAGCTAAGAGAGTTCTGAACCTATAATTAGCTAGGATAGTGGTTAGTTAGGTTAATTAGATTAGTTTCTTAATCGATATTCTAGGTTGGCTAGATAACAAAGCATTAAGTCGAAGTAAGGTACACCTAGAGACCCATGGTTTGATAATTTTATTACTTGCCTACCCTGTGTTGCACTCGGTGGTTGATTAAACTTGGCCTTCAATTGAGAAGTTGTAGTTAGTGCGAGCCAAGTTTTTGGCGCCGTTGCTGGGGACATTCTAGGTTATTAGGAAAAGGCTTGGGTCGTTATTTTAGTTCTTTTGTGTTTCGTTTGTGTTTTTTCGACCCACTCTTCATTTTGAAGGGTGATTTGTGTGTGTTTGATTTTTGTTTTAGTATTTTTGTCGTTGTAGGTTGAATCATTGATCCCGATGGCTTCTACAACATCTAGCCAACAAAGTTAGTACGTCGGGCCTTCTAGGCATTTGAGAAGGGATTTAGCGAGGACTTTTTCCTGGGGTTTTATAGGATTACTCTTGGAAACGCCCCATGATGGACACCAATTGTTTTGGGAAAGTTCTCTGGATCATATTGAATCAGGTTCTTGGAGCAATAAATTTGAGTTAGATTCCACCACGTAAGAGAATCTGGGGGAATAGCAGCAAGAATCGGATTTTCCCAAAAAAAAAAAAAAACACACAAAAGAATAGGCTTGAGAGTCCAAATTTACCCTCTCGAAATCAAGTCAGAAGGGAAAACCTCTAAAATGTGAGAAGGAAGGGTTGGATATTCGTTACCCTAACAAGGGTTAGAGACCTGCTATTTATTGGTAATTAGGGTTGCTGAGTAGACATGACTATGGTTGCCTTCGATAGCTAGCTAGTTCAATGTGTGATAGATTGAAGGACGACGAGACTGGTCGCGTGTCCCCATGAATTTGTTCTTGACATTCATGGCATAATGTAGAAACGGTTATTCCCTTTGCTCGTTTATAAGATGACTATTGCAACTGGTGGTATGTAGAAACCGTTATTCATTTTGCTTACTATTCCCTTCGTGGAAGTCGAGTAAAACCCCTTGATTTGGTGTCTGAGAAGACCCATTGTCTTGTAAGTCATTCTTTTTTCTCCATGGCCTGAGCAACTGGGTTGAGAAACTTATGACGACTCCTGGCAAACTGTCCATATGTGGTCCCCATGCCTTGGCCAGTTATGGATGTGGGAGTCAACTCGACCCGTATCATTTGCAGGTGGGACATATGTATCTCTCGATTTATTGAAAACGCCTTAAATTGAGCCCCTGATCTCTACCAACTCGACACGTAGCATTTGCAAGTGGGATATCCGTATCTCTGTATCGATTGA